TCAGCCCAGGGATCCAGCCTGTCCATTTTGTGAGTAAAGATGGGTTTCTTGAGTCATTTTGTTTGCAGTCCTTAACAATCTAGCAGTAGATTACTAGACTGTTAGATTAGCAGGTTGGACTGCAGACCCCTTCCCTGCAGAATAAAGTTGCTGGGGTCATTTTGTGGACGATTTCTCCACTTAAGAGCACTATTTTATTTGCAAAGATCCTGACGTAGCGCTGCAGAGCAGCTATCTCTGTTGGAGAGATCCCAAATGCTGCTGGCATCTCTTCAGCAGCAGGGAGTAGCGTGAAAAGGCTGTTGGACAGCAGGGAAGTGATCTGGGGGGAAGCAGACCCTACACCCAGCCTCACTGCGTCACGTAGCCTCCGTTTCAGCAACGTGTGCGCATCCCTACCGCACAGTAGGGCTGCTGCCTGCCGCGCCGGGGGGTGGAGGGCTGCGGAGGTGACACTGGACTAGGAGGTGACGTGGGATGTTGCTGTTGGTGCAGGATGGAGGCCGACGGGAAGATGTATGTCAAGTACCAGGTGATTGGGAAGAACAATGTGGCCGTCCCCACCCACTTCTTCAAGGTGCTCATCTTGGAAAAGGAGAGCGGGGAGATCGAGTTGCGCTCCTACGTGATGCCCAACAGCCCCGTGGATGAGAAAATCCCCCTGGAACGGTTCCTGGTTCCCATTGAGAGCATTGAGCGTGCTTCAGGGCTCCTCTTTGTCCCGAACATCTTGAAGAGAACAAGTAACCTGAAAGCCATCACAGCTGGAAACAAGCGTTGACCTCCAGTGAAACAAATCCAGGTATCCCCTGGGAAGGGACCGCAGTAGTTGCCTGTGGAATAATAGTTCCTCGTGCGATTTTAAACGTGGGAAATAATCAAACCAACGCTTCTCTTTACCCTGCCCCTCGCTGCGTGTAACGGTGAGATGTGCCGCGCTTGGCAGGTCTCTAGAATTCGCCCCTAACCCGCAGCACAGCTGCTCCTGCAGTTGCTCCCTTGGGGTTGCATGTGGCTTGTTCGGGCACAAAGGGAAGTTACTCGATGTCTGCTGCTTGGCAGGGAAGGATGGGAGCAGGGGGAGGGGAGGAGAGGTGCCTTTCTGTGGCCGAAGGATTGTATGATTGTTTTCTTTCAAAAGATGGTTTTAGCAGTAAAGCTTTGCACACCCACACTATTGCCTGTTTCTCACCTGCCCTTACCAAACTGTCTCAGCAGGAGGGGGGAGGACAGAGCCAACTCTTCCAGCTGCTTTCCTGTTTGAGCTCAAGGCAGCATGGATGGAGCCAAGCTGTAAGGAGCTATGCTGACGTGCTTTAGCATAACTGGAGCTCCAGCCCTTCCTGCTGTTAGGAAGGATGAAGCCTTGACGTGGGAGGGGGTTGGGAAAGTTAGGCTGAGACAGAAACAGCTTTTTGGCATAAGGATTAAGTTCTGACTTCCTTTGAATCCGAAGGCTCTGGAGGCACCGAGTGCGCAGGATGTCTGCACACCGACTGCCCGTCCCCTACACCAAGACGCTTGCACGCGGACTTGATGGCAGTCGAGGTTCCGTACCGCTTTATTCGCCACCCCGGATGTCTGAATTGCTGCGACCCAGCCTGGGTTGTCCCGGCTCCTGAGGCAGCACCCAGCCCTCAGCA